CCTCTGAAAAATTACTTACCTTAAACGTCTCCACCGCCTCTTTTGGTCCTCCTTCTCCGGTGCACTCTGCGGAGCATCCGTTATTGCAGTCCTTAGAGAAGAATTAAATCCATTCAGTAAAACGAGGTGGGTAACTGGGGTCTGGGGTAATCAGTATCACTCACCATCACACCCTTCGCTCCGCTCGGGTCCCCAAGAAAACAGGAAACGGAGGATCAAACACCCGGGCACGAGCCCCCAAAGAGAGCGTCCGTCCTGCGCGGGCTGCCCTTCCCTCTCTGCCCTGCCGGAGGTCGTGGCGGTTTTTGTCCTGCTTTGCTGGCTCTGGGCAGACTGGTTAAATTCTTACAGAAGCCAGAGTTCACCAGCAAAGAACAAGAAGGTAATTGTCTCCCTTTTATCCGAGAAAATAGTCTGGACTAGGGCTTTAAGCCATTTACAGAAAAATCTTCCGGGCGCGCTCAGCCTCGTGGTCTTGTCGATCACGGGCGCACAATAGCAAGCCTGGAAAAGGGATGCGAACCAGAGTGAACCATTTTCTCCACGGGCAGGGTCCTCCCATGCAGGCGCAACAACATCAAACCCCACACGTTCAGGGCAAAACTTCATGGAATTAGGGGGTAATTTTTAAAGATAGTCAAGGACACAATGGAAATTGGTCGAATTGGAAAAGGTGCAGACTTTAACACACGCACACACAACCAGAAAACCAAATCTGTTGCATCGCTAGGGGAGAAAGGGAAGAAAGGGATCCAAAGAGGCATAAGGCTGCGGTCAAAATATTTCTAGGTGGCGAAGGCACGCAGGATGTGGCTGTCAGTTCTGGCAGCCCAGAAATACCGCGCCCACCCCCGCCTTCTCCAAGCGGCTTCCATGGCGACCCTCACGTTCCCCGTGGCTGTTGGAGCCGCACTCCGGAGCTTTAAACCTGGCTGGCGGGGGCCCTCTCCAAGGGGTTCTCAGGCTGGAATCCTAGATTTCGGGCAAGGCTGGGGATAGGAGACAACCCCGATGGAAACAATGGCAGAAGCAGGATGGTGTAGGAAGGAGCCGGGCCAGGCCCGTGGGCTTCCAAGACCCAGGATCTAACCGTCCCCCGCCTCCCCGAA